ATACAGGATCCTTAACTGTAATTAACAGTTGACAATGAACTTGATAAATAACAATGAGGGAATGTCCCCGGGGGCATTGGTTGTGCCCTGAGGGGTCTGGGGTAAAAAGGAAGTTACGGGTTAACCAGACATCCCACAGATAGGTTATCTTAGAGGTGAAAAGGCGAATGGGCTCAGGAAAGATCTAAGTTGATCTTTGAAAGGGAAAATATCAACCTAGGACTTACTATAACCTGTTTGTACAATAGTTAAACACTGAGGCGGTGGGGGTTTGCCGGGGGGAATGGTTAGGGGCTGGGGATCAATGGGGGGGAGGGAAAGGAGACATATGTAAACCTTTAGAACAGTGGTCGGCAAACTCATGAGTCCACAGAGCCAAATACCAACAGGACAACGATTGAAATTTCTTCTGAGTGAGAGCCACATTTTTTAAACTTAAACTTCTTCTAACGCCACTTCTTCAACATGGACTCTCCCAGGCCATGGTATCTTGTGGAAGAGCCACACTCAAGGGGCCAAAGAACTGCAGGTGGCTCTCGAGCCGCAGTTTGCCGACCATGGCAGATAATTAAAAAAAAAAAAAAGCTCTGAGAAGAAGGAAAAAAAAGGAAAGGAAAGGATGAGAAAGTGATCTTCCATTTCTCTCCTCTCTCCACATGTGAGGCCGGGAGGGGTGGGCTCACACCACGAACCCAACACGCTGGCCTTTGACCCTGGACTCCCAGCCTCCAAAAACTGTGAGAAACGCAGCTCCATCCTCTGCGCTGCGGGTCCCAGGACGCTGTCACAGAGCCTGGAGCCTGCGCTGCCCGAGGTCCAGGTCTGCCCACGGAATCACGCCAACAAGCCCCAAGCCCGTGCAATCCTGCCCCGGGAAACCCCGTGCAATTCCTGCCCGGAGAGCCAAGCTCGCTCCCTGCCGTCACTGCGGAGCCTCCTGCACCCCTGCCCTCTGTGCAGCCCGCGGGGCCTGCATGCTGGGGCCTCCTCCCCCATCAACTCACACTCTGCTGTGCACCCAGGCTGCTCCATGGGAACCGCCCCGAGCGCAGCTTTTCCGTGACCTGGGGTGGGGGTGAGGGGACTTGGAGGTGATGCAAATTTCCATCCGGAGGCCACGCCCTGGGCCCTGCCAGTCCTCCCTGCCCAGGGGCGGAGCTGTCCCACGCAGCAGGGCTGGAGACCTGCAGAGTTCACCCGCTGGTGTAGGCCTGCGGGCACCCAGGGGAGGGCGGCGGGAGAGGGAAAAGGGCAGGGCAAGAGAAGGAGGCTGGGGTCTGGCTACTCCTGCTCAGGAGCTATGAGAGGGGATGGGGGAGGGGGACAGACGGGGCTACTCCAGGCCAGCGGGGTCCCCAGCTCATCCAGGACAAGGCCCAACAGCTCTACCTTATTCTCAGGTTCAGCTTCAGGGATCCCAGGGGCACACAGGTGTGTGTGTGTGTGTGTGTGTGTGTGTGTGTGTGCGTGTGTGTGTGTGTGGAGTGGGCGGAGGGCTTTTCCAAGAGGGCCTGGGCCTGGGCAAAGGGCCTGGGGGTCATGCATGTAGGTTCTGGCGATGAGAGACACGGAAGGGGATGTGAGCTGTCCCAGGGCTGGGCCACAGCAGCTGAGCTTCCCCTGGGCAGCTTCCCCGGGCTCCTCCGCAGGAGGAACTGAGAGCTCCCTGCACCATTCCCACCCCACGGTAGCCGGGCCAGGGGTCAGTGTGTGTGTGTGTGTGTGTGTGTGTGTGTGTGTCCACCCCCAGCTCCAGTGCAGGGAATGCTGGGGGAATGGACAGGCGGGTCTCCCCGCGTGGAGGTCAGAGAGCGGTTGATAAAGAGGGAGGGATGGCTGTGGAAGGCATGGGCGGCCACATTGCCTGGGGTGGTGCCCGGGGTGGCTCCCAGCAGCAGCGACGGCCAGGAGGAAGGGAAGTGAGAAAGGAGGCCGGACCTGGGGGCCGATGGCACATGAACAGGGAGAAGGCAGAGCGCTCCCTCCCTCTTCCCCCTCTCAGTGACGTCCCCCCTCACTGTCCCTGGGCCCACAGCAGGGAATGTTCCTCCTGGTCCCCTCAGAGCCCAGGCCACGTCCAGTCTGCTCTGTTGTGCCCAAGAGCCACCAGCCAGCGGGGCCTCCAGTCATGGCCCAGCCTTGTTTCACCATCAGGGCGTCTACCAGGCAGGTCCTGAGCTCCTCTGCCTCCCCGCCCTCATGGGGGCCATCTCTGGGCATGGACGGAGGGTGTCTGCCGGTCTTCCCTCCTCCGGCCCCCACACAGGGCACAGGCTCAGTCTGTTTGTCGAGTGAAGGAGTGAGTGAGTGAAGGAATAAATGAATGAATGAATGAATGAGTGAATGAGTGAGTGAGTGAATGAGTGAGTGAATGGGTGAGTGAATGAATAGATGAATGAGTGAGTGAGTGAATGAATGAGTGAATGAAAGATTAAGTGAATGAGTAAGTGAGTGAATAAATGAATGAGTGAGTGAGTGAGTGAGTGAGTGAGTGAATGAGTGAGTGAATGGGTGAGTGAATGAATAGATAATGAGTGAATGAGTGAGTGAGTGAATGAATGAGTGAGTGAAAGATTAAGTGAATGAGTAAGTGAGTGAATAAATGAATGAGTGAGTGAGTGAGTGAGTGAGTGAATGAGTGAGTGAATGAGTGAGTGAGTGAGTGAGTGAGTGAGTGAATGGGTGAGTGAATGAATAGATGAATGAGTGAGTGAGTGAATGAATGAGCGAATGAAAGATTAAGTGAATGAGTAAGTGAGTGAATAAATGAATGAGTGAGTGAGTGAGTGAGTGAGTGAGTGAGTGAATGAATGCCTGAAATAGTGGCTGCCCCTGACACTCCACCCAAGACCCTTAGGTATATCTGACATGCACACTCCTGCCTGCCTGCCTCCGGGGTCCAGATCAGGTGTCTTGACCTTGGCATGGCTGACCTTTCCTCATGCTGTCTGGAGGCCGTGCTGTGCCTCACAGGATGTGCAGAAATGTCTCTGGGCTCCACCCACGGGCTGCCCGGGGCACCCTCCTGGGTGGGACCATGACATGTGCCCAGACATTGCCAAATGTTTCCGGCAGGCCATGGTTCAGAACCACAAGTTCCCACAACACTCTCAAGCCAGGAAGTGACTTCTCCCCAGTGCACACTGGGCACCAACAGCACCTCTGCCTGGACAGGACTCAGACACCCACCATGGTCTGTCCAGCCTCGGATCTGCAGGGGCCCCTGCTGGCCCCCTCGGAGGTGAGGGCGGGCCTCAACCAGGTCCAGGACATGCCGGACAGACCGCATCTGAGGGTCTCTGTGGTTTGTCCTCCCCACTCTGTTCCAAAGGAGTGGATGAGGGAGTGAATGGGTGAATGAGTATGGGTGAATGAGTGAATGGATGAATGGGTGAATGAATGAATGAATGAATGCCCAAAATAATGGCTGCCTCCTACACTTTTCCTAAGACCCTTCCGTATATTTGACAACAGAGCTCAGAAAAGCCCCCACGGGGAGCTGGATGGTGAGGGAACTCCCATGGCCCCTCCCCAGATGTCCTCAGAGGTCCTGGTTCTGCTCTGGAGCCTCAGGGAAGATACAAGATAGGACAGGACTCCGGGTTCCCTTTCTGTCTGTCCATCTCTGGGAGGGTGCCCGGGTCTCTGGGCAGAGAGGGGAAGCACTTGGGCTCTGAGATTCCTCTTTTGCGAACAGTCCAGATCTCACGCTCCACCCTGATTTCGTGGCCTCACCAGGCTCCTTCTTCCCAGGCACTGTCTTCCTTCTTTTTCACCCTCAGGAGCCCAGAAGCCCTCCATGTCAGAGATGCTGTGGCTGCTGCCCCTGCTGTGGGCAGGTGAGTGCCTGAGGGGCCAGGGGGAGTGGGGTCAGGGGCTGCTGCTGACCTCCTTTCCCTGCAGGGTCCCTGGCTCAGCATGGAAGCTTCTACACACTGACAGTGTTGACGCCAGTGACGGTGCAGGAGGGCCTGTGCGTGTTTGTGCCCTGCACCTTCACCCATCCGGGGAACTTCCAGAATAATCCTCCCCCTGCATATGGCTACTGGTTCCCAGAAGGAGCTGATGAACTCCAGGATGCTGCTGTGGCCACAAACAACCCATTTCGTAAAGTGCAGGAGGAGACCCAGGGCCGATTCCACCTCCTCAGGGATCCCAGGACCTACAACTGCTCCCTGGACATCAGAGACGCCCGGAGGAAAGATGAGGGATCATATTTTTTTCGGGTAGAGAGGGAAAATTACCGAATGGGTAAATATTCTTACAAAATGAACAAGCTCTCAGTGCATGTGACAGGTAAGGAACGGGCTCCAGGAGAGGTCTCAGAGGCAGTTATGATGGCCCCTCACAGGGCTGGGATGGGCCCCATCCTGGGAGGGGGTGGGGGTACAGTGTGTTGGGCTCAGAGGGAGGAGCTGATCCAAAGCACAAGGCTTCTCTCAGGACTGCACCTGGGACCCTTCCTCCTGATCCCCTCTCTCCCCTCCTCTCCAGCCCTCAACCACACACCTGACATCCATATCCCGGGGACCCTGGAGTGTGGCCGCCCCAGGAACCTCACCTGCTCTGTGCCCTGGGCCTGTGAGCGGGGCACGCCCCCCATCTTCTCCTGGACGTCAGCTGCCCACAGCTCCCTGGGCCCCAGGACCCGTTTCTCTTCCATGCTCACCCTCACCCCACGGCCCCAGGACCACGGCACCAACCTCACCTGTCAGGTGCACTTTCCTGCCGCTGGTGTGACCGTGGAGCGAACCATCCAGCTCAGCGTCACCTGTGAGTGCTGGGTCAGAGCACCTGGTCCCTGAGGGTGTGCAGAGCAGGAGGGCCAGGCAGAGGTGCTGAGTGCTTTGTCCTGGGGACCTGGCTGTGTAGGGGACCTAGAGCACCAAAGCCTGACCCTCTTGCTTTTCCGTGGTCTCCGAGGGTGGAAGTGCAATGCCTACACAATCCTCACCACATGTCAGCTCACAGGCGTGGGAACTTCTCTCTTCCTGTCCCAGGTCCCCCTCAGAACCCAACACCAGGTGGTTGCCTAGGAGACGGCACAGGTAAGAAGGAGCGGGTCATGGGCTGTAGGGAGCAGGGCCACTTCCTGATGGTCTTAGGCTCTACAGCAGCGGTTCTCAACCTGTGGTTTGGGAAGCACTCGCAAGGTCGCCTAAGGCCATTGGAAAACACAGCTATTTACGATTCATAGCAGTGGCAAAAGTACAGTTATGAAGTAGCAACGGAGATAATGTTATGGTTGGGTAAAGGCACTGAAGTCTGCCCTCAGAAGCTGGGTCTCCCCCTGGAAGAGAGCAGTGTCCACAGGCTGCTGTGAGCGTTGGCTGTTCACCTGAAGGACCTAACAGGCCCTTTGCCATCAGTAGGACAGATTCCCCTCCCGACATCTCCCCCTCCTCCCATCTCTGTGACTGTGGAGTTCTCCACGGCATGGAGGGAGCTGGCTGTGGGCACATATTCTCTAACGAAGAACAAGGGTGTTCAGGGGTTGTCTGAATAACAGTCCATTGCATCACATTCAGTTCTTCCTCTGATCAGTTGATGGACATTTGGGTGTTTCCAGTTTGGGGCAGTTATAATACCGCTGTGAACTTCATGTGCGTTTTTGATTCAGATATTTTTGTTCTTCTTCTTTTTTTTTTTTTTTTAATACATTTTATTGATTCTTTACAGAGATGAAGGGAGAGATAGAGAGTTAGAAACATTGACGAGAGACAAACATCGACCAGCTGCCTCCTGCACACCCCTTACTGGGGATGTGTCTGCAACCAAGGTACGTGCACTTGACCTGAATTGAACCTGGGACCGTTCAGTCAGCAGGCCTACGCACTACCCACTGAGCCAAACCGGTTTTGGCTATTTTTGTTCTTTAGGTCATTCACCTAGGGGTGAATGACCTAAAGAACACTGGGGTGAATGACCTAAAGAACACTGCTGAGTCGATGGTACTTTCTATGTATGGCTTTCTCAGGAAATTCCGGACTGTGTCCTACAGTGGCAGCACCAGTTTACATTCCCACCAGCAAAGCATAAGGCTTCCAATTTCTCCACACAAATTGCCAAAATGGGCATGTTTATTCAAAAAACAGAAAAATCATAGGCTACTAGTGTGCGTGTGAAAGGCTACTCCAACGTGCCTTTGATTTGCATTTTTGTAATAACGCTGATGCCCCTTATTTTCTCGTGGAATTATGGTTCATTTGTACGTAACCTTAAAAGAGCACTTTATATCGAGTCTCTGCCCCTTGTTTAACCAGGTTCCTTGACTTTCTGTTGTTAATTTGTAAGAGTTTGGTATGTGGGCTGGTTATTGATCTTTATCTAACCTACAGCTAGCAAAAGTTCTCTCCCATTAAGTGGGTTGGCTTTTTCATTTCCCCCATCCTGTCCATTGATCAACAGAATGTTTCAATGTGGATGTACATTTCCATTTCTGTCCAATGGCTGGGGTCAGGGTGGGGTCTAGGGTGAGAGCCCAGGTGGTCCTGAATCCGGTGATGCAGGAAGGCCAGGGGACAATGTCCAGGGTCCTACTGGGAGCAGAAGAACATGGGATTGCAGCTGAGCAGGTGACTCTGTCCTCATCCCTTTCTCCTGTATGATTATCAGGACCCAGGGCAGAGGTGGTGCTGCTGGCCATTGGAGAGACTGCTGTCAAGACCCTGGTCCTCCTCCTCTGCCTCATCGTCCTCATGTGAGCTCAGCTCAGGAGGGGGGGGGGGATGTCCAGGGAGAGCAGGGGGCACGAGGCCAAGCGGTGAACCAAGACTTGGGATCCCGAAGAGTCGGGGGCAGGGCTGGCAGGAGGATAAGGGGTGGTAGGTGTGGCCTCCATACAGACAGACCTTTTGAGTGTCCCATAAGCCAGGTCTCCAGGGTGGAAGGTACCTGCAGCCATCAGGAGGGTGAGTCAGGTTAGACACACCCTTTCCCACTTCAGTCTCCTCTCCTGGCCTTGATCAGGGAACAGGGGGATGGGTCTGCTGCCCACTGTACCTGATGCAATCAGACTGAAAGACCCCAGTTTCTTCCCTCAGAGGCAGGTACCACAAGAGGAAGGTCCCGACATCCCAAGGGAGCACACAGGATGCAAGCGGAGTCTCAGGTTAATCCCTCAGGTGAGTGATGCAGGTGTGTCACCACCCAACACCCCCTGATGCCTCCCACAGGTCTGCCCATCAGCATTGCTGAAATGGAACTGTCAGCCCTGACCGGTTTGGCTCCATGCACAGAGCACCAGCCTGTGGACTGAAGGGTCCCAGGTTGGATTCGGTCAAGGGCATGTACCTTGGTTGCGTGTACATCCCCAGTAGGGGGTGTGCAGGAGGCAGCTGATCAATGTTTCTCTCTCTCATCCATGTTTCTAGCTCTCTAGTCCTCTCCCTTCCTCTCTGTAAAAAATATCAATAAAATAATTTTCTAAATAAATGAATAAACAAAAAAAACAAATAAACAAACAAATAAATAAAATGGAACTGTCACCTTCTGCCCCAAATCCACTTCTCTGCTGGGTTTCCCATCACAGTGATGACATGGTGGCCACCTTCTCTAAGACCAGGACTGGTGTGGTCCTACACTTTGCTTGCCATCCCGCTCTCCCCAGTCCACTAAGCCTTGCCCATCCTTCTTCCCAATCACAGCCTACATGGGATGGCCGCCTCCTGCACATCCTGACAGGATTGTTCCTGTGGCCTCATCCCTTGCCTGGGTCCCTGATGGTGGATCCAGAGACATGTGGTCCACTTCCTGCAAAGTTTGAACAGTGACTCTCCTCTCCATGTGCAGAGATGAGGTGCAAACACCACACGCTGGAGTTGAAGGCTTGGCCTGGTTTGACCCCTGCTGGAGTCTCCACTCGATTCTACCATCTCCCTGAATCTCTCGCCATCTCCACTCCCAGCCCGGCCAGAGCCTTTGTGACTGTGAGACTTTTCATGTCCAGTTCCTTCTACTGAAATGCCCTTCCCTCCCCATTCCTACATCTTCAAGTCCTGATCCTTTTTTTTTTTTTTTTTTTCAGTGAAAAGTTGCCTCATTACACATGTGTGTATGTGTGTTTGTTCTATAATTTTGAACAAAACAGGATTTAGGCATTTACTTATAGACTTTTTAGCAAAAATGACTGTGCACCTACTATGTGTCAGCATTGTTGTAGGTACTAAGGTTGCAACCATGAACCCAGAACCAAAAATCTCTATCATCCAGAAGTTGTCATTCTGGAGACAAGAGGATAAAATGTAATACAAATAAAACATGTAGAGTCTGTTGAATGGTGATATGTGTTTGGATAAAATGTAATATAAATAAAACATGTAGAGTCTGTTGAATGGTGATATGTGTATGGGGAGAAATCATGCCAGGAAAGGATCAGGTGACACGTGGGGGGACAGTTCCCAACATCTGAGAGGATGAACTGTGGTGTCTGAGCCTCAACTGGATGCTACTGAGAGAGCAGACTGTGTGTTGCCTTAAAGGAGATTAGCCAGGAAGATGGGGAGCAGTGCCCCAGTTCTGAGGCAGAAGTGGCCTGGTGTGGGATGGAGACAAGACTCAGGCGTGACAGTCCAGGGGTGCCTGGGTCCCTGATGGTGTATCTACAAAAAGGAAGAACCCTGGAAGGAGGTGCAAACCCCTTGGTGTGCAGCCTAGTGAAAGCCTGCAGCAAATGCAAGAACCAGGAAGCCATTGAGGAAACCAGACATATGGTTGAACATTCTTTGTAACCGATTCTTGTGGCTGCCCTTTGCAGAATAGACTAGCATGTCCACATAAGCCAAACAGAGAATGGGGAGGACACAAGGCAAGAGGGGATGGTGGTTGAGCCAGGGATGTCAGGTGGAGAGTGAGGTCTAATTTCTGGATATAATTGAAGTTCTAGTTGACTTGGGGACTGAGAGAATGTCTAAAACAGAGATGGTGCCTAAGTGTTTCTCCTGAGCATCAGAAAAGGTGTGTTTGATGGATACAGGGTTTTGAGGGTGATGTTCATTCTGAGAAGACACTGCATATCCAACGGGGGACCATCAGTGAGAGAGCTGGTGTGGATGTCTGGAGATCAGGAGAGGGGCAAGAGATGGGAACATGTCAGTGTGAGATGAGAACAACAGGTGAGGGAGGAGAAGGACTGATGGCACACAGGGAAGAGAAGATACAAGGGAACACATTGTCATTGGAGATCCTGACAACAGGGAATTCAATGGTTGGTGGTAAAGGTGTGAAGACGAGATTGAAGCAATGACAGCAGAGAATTGGAGGAGAGGATATGGGATAGTGGGTCCAGACAATGCTTTGAAGAAATTGGCTGCAAAGAGGAACAGAGGGATGAGTCTGGCAAAGGAGCTCTTTTCTCAACTCCTTCCCTGGGTTTTCCCAGAGGTGCTCTCACCTGGATTGGCTTACTGGGGCCATTGTGACAAATCCCCACACACTCAGTGTCTTTAAAAAATGGAAATTTAGTCTCTTAGTTCTTGAGACCAGAAATACATGCAGGGAGTAAAAGTATCTTCTTCCTCTGCAATTCTACATGGTATCTGAGACCTCGGAAACAAAGAAAGATTGGGTGCCACATCATGGGGTAACATGTCCTACACCCCATCTACTGTAATGAACATCACCCTCAAAACCCTGTATTCATGTTCTATTGTGTAGAAATCCAGTTGTTGGGTTTCTACACTGTAGGATTTCTACAAAACAGGAAATAACAAGACTCGGAGCTGATATGGAGAAAATGTAACTCTTGGGCTTTGCTCTACATTTCAAGGGTTCACTCCCTCCAGGGGCTCAAGGAGAGAACCCGACTCTTGCTTCTTCCAGGTGATGGGGTCCCGGCTGTCCTTGGTCTGTGGCTGCATCACTGAGACCTATCTCCTGGTCACAGGGCCTCGTCCTGCTCTGTGTGTAGAAAGTCACCTGCTATGTCCATCTTGGGGACTCTTTTGACTGGATTCAGGGATCAACCCTAATAATCTAGGATGCTCTTTACGTGAATATTCTTACCTTAATCCCATCAGCAAAGCCCCCCTTTCCCTTTTATGGCA